CATCCAAGAAGTTTCTTCTCATCCAAGAAGTTCATCTGTGAAATGTCTTCAAAGAAAAACCAGAAACTCCAGTTGCTTCTTGAAAAAGCACCTTTGGGACAACCATGACCTGGATGACTGAGAATCTCCATAGACATTTATTCCTGACCCAATCCACAGATATTGTTAGGCCAAAAACTATAATTTATAAGCCAGAATGTTTGGGGTCTGACAACTCACCAAGCTAAAAACCAAACAAACTTAGCAATGAGGGAATCTCAAACTTTGCCATATTGTGTTCCTCTGAAATCATAAATCAGATGTTTTTAACAAGTTATGTCTGACCCTTCCTCCCCCAAAGAACCTGGCCATGTTTCAAAAAGTTCTGAAATCCTGGCTCTTCCCCAGGCCCCACATTAGACTAGACCTCCCAGTTTATTGTCTGTTAATCCCTGCTTTTTTTCAGGGCTTTGTGTGAGGATTTTGTTCTTATTGTTTGTCTGATTTGTACAACTGTTTTTACTGTATGCCACCCAGAATGCTTATAGACTATACAGTCCATTACTAAAATTAAAAAATTAAGAAATAAAATGCATTTCCTGAAGCAAATAATTTGTTCGTTTGTTTTAAAAAAATACCAATCACCTACTTTTAATAATTATATTTTAAATTGTATAACAAATGAAGCAGTTACAGAATCTTTGCACAACTTTTTTCCAGACGATTTTGCTGCCTTCACATTCCCAGCAGTACTTTGATAAAACCACAGTGAGTGGTTCTCCAGTAATAAAAAAAAATACTGTGGAAACTAAAGATATCTAACTTTCATGATACTTTCTTGATTCAAGCTAACTTTTATTAACACAAAAGCCTTTTACTTACTAGCTAATAAAAACGTTTCCATTATGAAAGATAGGTGTCTAAAATAATTACTGAACTTCACTAGCGCATAACTACAAGCCAAGCCATCAGTGATAAAGAGAAGTATTTCCAAAAATGCGAAATTGGTAGTCAGTACCTTGTAACTATTTCCCAGTGATCAACAATTCATTATGCAATGCAGAAATGAGAAATTCTTCAATTTGTGTTAGAAATTTTAATTTTAAATTTTGTAAACCAAATGCCACAACTGAATTGACGTTTTTGATAAAACAGGTAATTTTTAACAAATTTATTTCTTTTTGCATAAAAATACCATGCAAAAAAATCAAATATAATTTCAAAATAGTATCCTATAACAAAATAACACAGTATTACTGCCATTCATGGTGTAGGAGAAGGAAACATAGAATCTGGGGGCGGAGTTAAAAGAGGGATTAGCCTCATTTCCTAAGTAGCCACAAGCAGACTAAATCCAACCTCCCTTGAATTCCACTGACTTTTTTTCAACTTCACAGAGTTGCCAAGCTTTAGTTGAGAAGATTCCTGTGCCTAAGCTTTTTAGCAATAAATGAGTTTCATTGGATGTTGGTCTTTCTCACCTGACGCAGAAGAACCAATCTCTAATAAGAAATGGGAGTAAGAAGAAAAATAAACTTGACCCAGAATATGAGAATTCTTGGCTTAGCATCTATACACTCAACTAAAAAACTAAGGTCATCCAAATGGATTTATTTAAAATAAGAATTACCTTTAAAATATTTTCTACGTTCTCCGATTTGGGCTCCAGAGATAGAGAGCCAAGCCTTAATATACACCGATTACTACAGGTAGTCCTTGAGTTACAAATATAATGGAGCCTTCCCTTTCCATTCGTAACCCAAGGATTCGTGGGAGTGAATCTTGTGCCTTCGATGCAATCATTCCCTCCTTTCACCCACATATTGCTAATCGAACGTGCAGCTTGTTAAGTGCACATGGGAATTTCAGGGTGGGGAAGGCCATGGGGGGCGGGGGGACAGGCCACCTGCTGGAAAAGGCCTCCCCACCCCACTGAAATACCTCATGCTCCCCACAATTGCTTCCCGCTCCCCAACCTGCTTTCCCAGGTCACTTACCATGCAAGGATCTAGCAAGAAGTCCCCTCTCCAGCCTCTCAGCTGCACATGACCTTCTGCAGCTCCATTTTGGCCTGCGCAGGCCTCAGTACAGCTCTGTTTCGGCTGGCGAATTGCCAGGCGATGCTTGCACAGGCCTAAACAGAGCGTCGGAGGGGCGGGCGCGCCCCTCCGAACCTCCACTTTGGCCAGCAAAGTGCAGGACGAATGTCGCAGGGACTCTGTGGTTGTTTGTAAGGGTGAACAACTGCTGTGGTGCTGCAAGATTCGTAGTTTCGAGACTTGTTCATAAACACTAGGGGCACTGATTGTGTAATTTTGAACATTCGCTAAGGGAACACTTGCAACCTGGAGATTCTGTGCATTCAAATTCTTTTATCTTCTCCAAACTAAACATAAGATGACAAGATTTATACCACATACAGAGGCATCATTGTTTTTCCATATAAAGGGAGAAAACAAAGATGTTTTATGACATTAAGACTGCTCCAGAAATGGCTGTGTCTATAGTCCCATTGCTAACCAAATAATTAAAGGTGACTGCAGTATCTAGAGACCAAAATACATGGACAAATTAAATACGGTGAACTCAAGGGAAAATTTCTCTCTTTTCTGATACCTGACATATGACTGACAACTTTGCTATGTAAGCACCATTTTCCCATTGTCCAAAAGGTTGGTAGGGCATGTGGTTTTTTTTCCTACTTCCACAAACCCAGGCAAGAAACTTAATTTATGAGGGGAGCACTTCTGAAGAATTCAATAGGACTTTCTCTTTCATATCTCTCTTAAATGACATTACAGTTTTATTGTTCATAGATTTGTTTTAGGAATTAGTGCTGAAGGCAACTTTCTTATCTTCCTTTATCTATTGTACCTCAATCAAAGGGTATAGGAGTGTTAACACTACGCATATCATGAGGTTGGGGGTTGAATTTAACTGCAGGCCATTACTTGGGATATGCCTCTGGCCAGATATGGTTAGAAGTCTATCTGCAGCTCCATTTGGGGGGTAGGGTTGGGGGGGAGGCTGTGGATATTCCCTCCTTCCTTTTTCTACTGAATTCTCTCAAACAATTCCCCAGTTCCCTGTATTTCTGCTGAAATGGTTACACCAGGAAGCAAATGCTGCACTTAAAAGAAAAAAAAAAAAGATCTGAACCTGCCCCACTAGATGTTGTGCAAACAAATGTGGTAGAATTTGATCCAGAGGTTATCGATATGGAGAAAGGGCACCAGCAGATCAAGGAGACCTGTAACTCAATCTCAGAGCCTGGCAACCTGCCAAATTGGTGAGAGTTATATCAGGGGCACACCCTTTCTCTGCAGGTATAACTTCAGAAAAATGAACACGATCAAGACAAGACACAAATGTTTCCACACCACCCTTTTTGCTGCCTTCAACCCGAAAAGACAAAGTTGCACTGCAGACAAGGAGCAGGTTCACATTTTTCAAACATCCTCATAACTGAACCTAAACAGCCAGAACTAAGTCCAGTGCTTCACCACATCAGGAACTCCCCATTTGGAACCTAGCTTTTAAAACAATGTGGGAATTTTGGAAGTTATGGTTCTATCAATGGTAGATTGACTAGAGTGAGCCCGGAAGGAAGGATCGAGCAGGTCATGACTCACGAGTCCACATGAGATTTAAGTCCAGCCCACCTTGAATTTCATTAACTCTTATCTACCACCAATTTGCTCTGACTGCTAGCAGTTCAGATTTCTGTAGAGTGTTAGCATGCCCTATATCTGTATTCATTTCCATTGCCTTGACTATTATATTGGAACTGGGGGAAACCAGAAGTGGGAAAGGCTGCTGTATAGGAATGGGGTTGCAGATGTTGTCAGGACATGTTTTTTGCTGATGCAGAAAGTGTAACACTCATCTGGTCCCCCATTTCTAGTCTAATGCTTTTTCTCCAAGCTAAATATGACAGTATTTATATCATACTCACATTGTTCTTCCATATACAGTAGAGAAATTAATGAAATTTAATGAAATTAAAAATGCTCTGGGTGATGGCTCTGGTCTTCGGGACGTTATACAGGTAGTCCTAGTTTAGTGACTACAACCGGGACCAGCAACTGGATCATTAAGTGAAGTGATTGCTAAGTGGAATTGTGACTGTGCTTACACTCTTATCTCAGCTTTCCTTTGCTTACAGACCTGCAGAAGTTGTAAATGTGAGGATTGGTATGTGAGGACAAAAAATTACTTTTTCATCATTGTTGTAACTGTGCATGAATGCTGTATAGATAGACCTCAACTTACGACCATTCTCTTAATAACCATTTGGGGTTACAACGAATCCCTTAAAAATGTACTTACGACATGGATTTGAAGTTCTGACAGCCACTCCCCATGGTCACAAGATCACATTTTGGGTGCTCAGCAACTGGCCCAAATTTACAGCCATTTGCAGCATCCTGAAGTCATGTGACCACGATTTACAACGGGTGCTTACTTCCAGTCTCAAGCAAAAAAACCCTCACTGCAGAAAATGGGTTTGTTTACTGACTACATCATTCTCTTAATGACCACTGATTTGCTTGACTAGCATGGTGAGCTGCTTAACAACTACCACAAAAAATGTCATAAAATATGACATTGATGACCTGCTTAACCACCAGCACGACTTATGGCCATAATTGTGGGGTCAATTATAGTTATAAGCTGAGGAAAACCTGTACAAGGCAGTCATTAAACAAGGAATACTTGTTTTATCACTTCTACCCAAAGATTTAAGATGACTGCAGCATCCTAGAGACCACATACAAATTAAATAAAATATGGTGAATTCAAAGGAACATAGATCTCCTTTCTCATGTCCAATGTATGATTGACAGCCTTGCTATTTAATCATTATTCTTCCCATCATCCAAAGGAATATGATTCTACCTTATGAAATATATAGGCTAAAACACACAGGGAGTAGTCCAAATAATCTTTTTATACCAAAGAAGAATCACCTGGAGATGAGAGGTGTAGATGTCAACTAGACCAAGGCCCAGAGCACTTACCGGTTGCAGTCTGGGCCAGCTTCTCCTTAGTTTTGAGGGCATGGGCCCGCTCTTCTTTGAGACGCTCATCGTCTTTAAGGAGGGCCACCAGCTGCTTGGCCTTCTCCCGCACGTTGACCCCTTGATCTTTGCCATCCCGGTCAACGTACTGAAAATCCTTTAGTGTCTGGATGGCATATATGTTCTCCTTACACTGCTGTGCAACCCTCTCTGAACCTGTCTTGATTAGGTATTCCATAAGTGTCATAGCCTGGAAGAGATGCAAGAAGCAAAGAACTCATGACATTTTCATGAAGGTAAAGGTGAAAATCAGAAAATCAGAATCTGAGAAACGTTGGTCCTGGGAAGCAGAATTATGGGAGTGCTAAGGATCAAGTCAAGTAAATAAGTTTTCACGTAGGAGACATGGTAATAGGTGGAATTTACTATCCAAATGTCTCGGATAGCTTTATATTTTTAGAGCAGAGGCCCAGGTTGAACTGGATGCAAATTTGCAGGTTCTGTCAAAGAAAAGGGGCAGTTTTTATATGAAAAAATTGCCAGTATTTATATGAATTGATGATTCAATGGTAAAAATGCAGAGCCAGGCAGGCCAAGGATGAGTTTCATTAGTAAACTTGGGCTGGTTGCTTTTTCTTTTTCAGCTACTCCTACTCCACAGGTAACTAGGTGATAAAAACCAGTGATCCACATTACAAGGCCATCATACTGACATCATCGTTTGTGGGAAAAATAATTTTAAGGAACCAAAGCAACTTATGGAAAGGATTGTCATGATAAAAGGGCAGACTGAGATGAGCACAGACCCAGCATGCTTTCTGTGTTTCTGGAAGGTACCTGCACTGCATTTTAGAGAACACAGACTTACACAGGAATAATAAACAAATGATTCATCCACATGGGAACCAGATCTAACAAATATCAGAAAGCTCATTGCAACGCCTTGACTTGCTGTCAATAACCACCGATTTCTCTATAATATATCTGCAAACAGCAAGGTCTCCTACAACTGAAGCAGGAGGAGAAAAAAAGGAGGGGAAATATGAAGAAACGCATCTGGGCAAGTTGTATACCTCCAAATGTTGCTGGTCTACTTCTCCCACTATTCTACCCATGATGGCTAATGCTTCAGAAAACTGCAACTCAAATCACCAACTTCCCCATTCTTTGTGCAAAATGGCATTCTTCAATACTACATTTCCCATCATGGTCGGTGCTATTTAGAATCCATCAACACCTAGGGGTTAATGGTTGCCTACCCCATCTAATGAAAATTGTTGTATGCTCCACTTAACATAGGACATTCAACTTTGACTGAAAATAGCTCACAAAGCTTTACTCGGGCTATATTTTTTACTTGGCCTTGCTAAGCAAATGCGCTGCATATATTCAAAGAAGATACGTAAAGGAATAGAGGTTACTGTCCCATCTAATTCAATAGTCTACATCAGGGGTGTCAAACTGGCGGCTCACGGGCCAGATGCATCACATGCAGGCCACGCCCACCCTGGCCACACTCCACAAAGGCAAAAAATGTCGCAATATGTGTCATGTGACACGATCAAGTTTAACACCCCTGGTCTATATCAAAAGGGTTGCAGGCAAGCCCTGAGAACTCGTCTTGCAATCTTGAAGGCCCTTCTGAACATGAGGCTGAAAAACATCAGCGTAATTTTGTGCTCAACTGAACACTGATTTTGGAAGCTTTAATTAAAAATCAAAAAACCACCCCCGTAAAACTCTCTCCAAATTCAGTCGTGTACAGGTAGTTTGCAATCGGTCGCCTAGCAACCATTCAATGTTATGAGAGATTCCTCCCCCAAAAGATACTTGTGACCCAGATGGTAAGTTCCAATGGACAAGTGGCCCTCCCAGTTCCATGACTGCATTTAGGCATTTGGCAACCAGCCCACACTTAGCGACTTGCAAAGTTCCGTGATCACATCTGGTTCCTAGCAAAAATGGCAGCTTGAACAACAAGGTCGCTTAATGACCGGCACAAAAAAAGTTGTAAAATCAGGTGTGGTCACATGATGACCCACTTAAATGACAGGCATGAGTTGCAACCATAATATCCAGGCTCAATTGAGATCATAAGTTGAGGACTACCTGCATGATGGAATCCCATCCCTCCGTTTTAAAGCTTGACTGCCTCGAGCTCCTGGGCTACCAAAAGGTGTCCAGCCGTAGTTTAGAAGCTTTCTAGGTTTCAGACCTTTCCAGCTTTTCCTGAATATGTAATGGACTAAATTTGAATATCAGGATAAGAAGTTGGTTCTCTACCGCTGATCAAGAGCCCCTCCATTTGCATGCTTGAGAATTAATCAGTATTTGAGAACGAATTAACATATGTGGACTTTTTGGATAAAGCATGCAGATTGCAACGCACACATCCATTCTTAATACTGTGTTGTGTGTCTCCAAAGAAGCATGCCTTCTGTAATAAAATGCACATCATAATACATATTAACTTTTCCACTTTCTTAATAAGGTATCTGTGGAACAGTGTGGGAATGGAATAAAACAGACTTAACAGTGAATAGCTGTGAAAAATCAAAACAGGAGGATTATGGCACCGTTACCAGAGACGTATATATTTGCAAGAACAAGAGACAGTGCCTGTTTACCTTGTAGACATGACGCCAATTTTTCCCATGATCGTTGAGACGCTTCCAGATCATGCTCATGATTTCTGAGAAGGCTACCACATTGTAGGTGAGATCGGCAATTTCAGACATAAGAGAACTAGATGGGCCCCAAGGGTCATTTGATGTAGCCTCACGAACCTTGATTTCGGCTTCAGAGTAATTATGTACGATATTCTTCATCTGGCGGCGCAGTGAAGACGTCGACATGGTGGTGACGGTGGGGTGGGGGATAGGAGAGACCCAATTTGTACTGTACACCAAGCTTCCTGTGGATGGCTTTGAAATAAGCCGGACTAATGGTAGCCAAAAGGGCTCCCCGGGTTAAAGCAAATCAAGTTTTTTAATCAAATGCTTAAGACAGTGAATCCTGCATATCCAGTCCGAATGGAATCTAGTTTGCTTCGCAAGAGGCAGGCCACGACTTCTGCTCCTGTGCCACTTGCCTGAAGTCCCTAGCTGGCCATGCACCCCCTGAGCATCCATCTGGGCGTCGCAGCCATTCCGAGACACGGCTGAAAAAGAAAGAGAGAAAAACTTTTAACATTGATTTATTTAAATTGCTATCCCACTTTTATTACTTTATAAGTAACTCAAGGCAGCGAACATGCATAATATTCCTCCCCTCCCCTTTCGCCCCCTTTCACAACAATTCTGTGAAGTGGGCTGGACTGAGAGTGAGTGGCTATGCTGACCCCACTCACCCACACGCCAAGGTTGGTGTAGAGAGCTTTATTCGGCCTGGTCCCCCATCAGTTCTATTTTAGGTTTTTCAGGTAACCCCCAGCTGCAAGCTTAGCACAGTAATTGGCTCGTGACCAAGTAGATAACCAAAAGTAAAACAAACTTGCAGTCAAAATTAAAACAGCCTTGGAAATAAAGGTTTTGCCTGGGTAGGTACCAAAAATAAACGGCCCAAATCTCCTCTGAGGTCTGGGGCCTCCACTGAGGTTTGTAAACAAGTCTGGTGGTCCGGTTTCAGAGCTTGCAAGGAGAAGTCAAAGGAACTCCCAAGCTAAGAGTTCAAGGGGTCATTTTTAGCAAAGCTAGCCATGAACAAGCTCTAGACTAACCTTCCAGGCAATGGCCAATTAGTCCACCCGACTGATAACTGGCTGCTCCAAACATAAACACTCTCCACAACTGAATTAACTCCAGTGCGGAATCCCAGAAACAAACTACCATCTGGCCACGACTCACACACATTGCTTCCAGCAACACCTCCCTCCATTTGCCGTGTTAAATAGCCCCTCCCAGTGCAGCGCATTAAGGGTGGGGCCTTTTCTTCATCAATCTGGCAGATCTCCGCCTCTGCCCTTCGCATTCTAGCCTCCACAAGGCCGGTAGCTCCTCCCCCTCTTCCTCATTGGCCTGCAAGCTCTCCCCAGACAAGGCATGTACTGCCAGCAGTCCAGGGTCAGCACTACCAGATGTGCCAGGAATGCTCTCATACTCCCTCAAGGCCTCTGAGGAAGACATGGAGGAGCTGTCGTCCACAGGAGACATCACAGTGGACTGAAGTCAGGTTTAGTGTCTAAGGTGAAACCTCAACTCACAGTCTCCTGGTTTTCAGACAAGCCCCTTCAACACAACACCAAGCCTGGAATGAAGGATATCGACCCTATTCCTATGCATGATTTGCATGAATCCAAAAATAAGGTCCCAGAACATTATCCAAATTTTGGATTAAAGGCCCTTACTTTAGGACTTTCTTTAAGAACTTGGTCAAACCAAAAGTTCCCTCCCAAGCTAGCTTTAAGTCCTCAAGAGAAGGGCATCAAGAGAAGTGCAAAAAAATCAGGCCTGCTTCAAAGATTAACTTGTGGTATTGATAACCAAGAGAAAGAAAAGGACAAAAAAATTCTACACAGCTCTTTATCAGAGAAACTTTAAAAGCAAGTAAAATTAAAAGCTCAGTATGGCACTTTAGATGCTGCATTCTTCATTTCTGTTGTTTAGCCACTTTAAAAGCAGATTGGATCAAGGCTTGTAAATCTGAAAGACTCAACATTTTCTTGGGCTTACGGGTAACAGCTTCAAGACAAAAGTTGCAGCTGAACAACAGAAGAAGATTTTCTTGTTCTGGATCAGAACAAAAATTGATCTGTCTTGCATTTTAGCAGTGGCAACTGGAAAAGAAGATATTATGAGACATGAGCAAGGACACAGCCCACCCTGACAAATACATTCTACATACTGTAGGAATGTCTAACCTTAGCAACTTTAAAGATTTATGGACTTCAATTCCCAGAATTCCCCAGCCAGCCATGTTGCATTTGCTTTCTCAAAGAAAACTACCTAGTCCTACATCTCCCAGACAATGTAAGATTTGGAAACATGGAGGGGTGGGGAGAGAGGAACAATACAATCAAGCTACCCATTTCTTTCTCCATTTACTTTTTACACAATGCAGCATCGCCTTTTTTTTCCAGCCAGGTTTCTTTGGTCAAAACACTAGCAGACATCTGTTAAGGTTGCAATTTTGGCAGCATTTACTTGCATCAGCCTGCAAGATCAGGATCCAAAACCTCATATGTGATTTATTTTACAGTTGCCTTTCCTCCAAAAAAGGCTCACGGAGGCACAGAATCTACCTTACTTATAACTTTGTAACGACCTTGTGAAATAGGCTTCAAAACATGTTACAAAAGGCTTAGATTATTGTACACGTGGCCCTCGACTTATGACCACAACTGAGCTCAAAATGTATGTTACTGACACATTTGTTAAGTGAATTTTATGATCTTTCCTGCCAATGTTGTTAAGTGAATCACTGCAATTAGTGAATCTGCCTTCCCCATTGACTTTGCTTGCCAGAAGTTTGCAAAAAGGGGATCCCATGACCCAGGGACACTGCAACAGTCATAAACATGAGTCAGTTGCCAAGAGTCTGAATTTTGATCACATGACCACGGAGATGTTACATAGGTTGTAACTGTGAAAAACGGTCATGAATCACTTTTTTCAGTGCCGTTGTAACTTTGGACGGTCACTAAATGAACTGTTGTAAGCCGAGGAATACCTGTATTAAAGTCGGCAGCTGAACAAGGAACTGAACTGGAAACTTCACAACTGACATTTATGAAGCCCCAAGAAAAAAAGGCTTGGAGAGAAAAAAAATAGAGGGAATAAGACAAAAATGGGGAAACAAGTTTTAAGCCTTCATGCCAGAATAAAATGCTTCAACCACAACGAAACCCAATTTTACCCAAACACACAGATTTTCCGATATTATTTACTAATTTCACTTCTTATCCCCTGCCCCAGCCCCATATAGAAGAAGACAGGAAGATCTTACCCCCACCTCCCCTAGCCAAGTAACTTTAGCGATTTCAGTGAATCTGAATTTGTCAGAATTGCTTCTGGGACAATTCAGGCCGGAAGCGAAAATTCCCAAGAGTGTATGGGTGGGTGGAATAGAAGGGAGGTAAGAGCAACAAGGAAAGCGGAAATTGTGCAGATGGCAACATCTGACCCCAAATTCTCTTTAACTTCCTGAAAGCCTCTGCCCTACTTAAGCCCTGATATTCTTAAACCTCAAAAGGAAGGAAGCCCACATTTCTAAGGAATGAGTCACAGGGGCTCATTCTTCCTCTTTCTGCCCCTTTTCATTTTGTTCAACTCAGTTTCCAGCTCTAAAGTTTCAAGTCACCAACCAATAAGCTGAAGATGATTCAAGAGAAGCCAAAGTGACCAAAAGCCCTAATGCGCAACAAGCGCACTGAGCTCAAAGAAATGGGAGCATTGATTTCAGGCACACTTTTCTAAATTTCTGTGTTTAAACTGTCCTAATTTCATAAAGTTAAGACGGTATAAATAGATGGTAAGGCCATTTTAAGAATATTATTCTCCATCCTGCTTGGGAATACAGAGCTACTTAAAGCACATTGAGACATTTTTTTTTTTAAAGAAACAAAACCTAAAGCAAGTTCAACGTCCATCAGTTTTGGAAAATAGTAAAACTGAACAGCTTCTTCATCAGCCTAGAAATCTCTAGGCTTCTCCCAAAATTCCCAGTTAAGCATTTTCTTTTGGAAATTGTAGTCCCAAATTTGATAATTCAGAACAGCTGATAACAGGAAGCATTAACTTTGTCCAAAGACTCATAGCTCAATTTCCTTCACTTCTCAAACATTGCAAGGAACATTAGAGAGACAATGTGAAATAGCAAATATAATACAATGATTTTTCTTATTTTTATTACATTTATAAGTCTATGTGGGGGGGGATAGTTTCTATCATCTCTCTCTTTATTCTACATACAGGCTGGAGTTAAGGGAACTGTACTTCAAATATTCTGGACGGCACTCAGTTTTACAGAATATAGAGTAACAGAGATGGAATGGGTTCCTGGAGATCTTCTAATACAATCCCTGCTCAAGCAGGAGGCCCTATACCATTCCAGACAAACTGCTGTCCAGTCTCTTCTTAAAAACCTTCAGTGATGAAGCACCCACTATTTCTGGCTGAAATTCATTTTCCTGATTAATTGATCTTAGTTTCAGGACATTTCTCCTTGGTTCTAGATTGGATCTCTCCTTGATCAGTTTCCATACATTACTCCTTTGGGTATTTTGGAGAATACATGACAAAACACTTCAGCAACACACAAAAATTCATTTAATATTTAATTTTTTACTATTTTGTTATTATTTATTTACAATAATTTTCAGGGCCATAGCATGGTGGATTGCTTACAGAAAAATTATTCCTATGAAGACTCACACTGAACCCAGATAAATTAAATTATCTTGAAAAGCAGAGGTAAATTATCTCTATCATTAGAATGTTCAAAGTGATTCAAGAAAGTCCAGCTACAGAATCATTTCTCTGAGTGGCTCAGAAATGTCCCCTTTGACATAGGCTGCAATAAAAGTGACCATTTTTGCTACAACTACTGGGATTAACGGGTATCTATGATACTGAGTTCTACTGGCTGGTGAAGAAATTTCCATGTTGTGATTCAGTACCGTCTATTTTGAGAAGAAAGCTACAGCTGCAAAGAAAAATAGGTGAAAGGTTTCTAATTCACTCGAAATATTTTTAATCTCTTCTTGAAATTCTCTACATGATTTTGCAGCATGCAAGAAGACTGAATACTTGTATGAAGCAAAGATTCTAATACATTATAATTCACCCCTTTTAATTTTCTATTTAAAAATCTGGTCTATATGGCATTTAAAATTAATTACATGAAGGTTTTTTCCCCCATGTTGGTAGCATCAAAGGATTTGCCAGTAACATCACCATTGCCCGGGGGATGCCCGGTTGGGAGCTCCTTTCATATCCTTGTGAACTTGCCCACAAAAGTGGTAATGAAGCAGCCTGGTGGCTCACAGGCTTAGAACTGATGACCAGCAGGCTCACATTCGAGACCCGTTGCTGCTGCTGGGGTGAGGTGAGCACCCCATCATAGGCTCCAGCTCCTGCTGACCCAGCAGTTTGAAAGCAGGCAGCTGCAAGTAGATTAATGGGTAATGGGAACACATCAAGATAAGTAACTTTTCTTGATGAA